TAAAAAATGTTTCTGTTGAATAATGTCGAGTTTCATGTGACACCTTTGGACGTTACCAGTTAGCTGTGGTGTATTTTGGGATTCGTTGGATTCATAAGGCAATAGAAGCTTCTTGCAGCAGTTTGCATAGTCAATGGCACCAAACCAGGGAAGACCATTTCAAAGCAGTGGGAGAGCTGGTCAGACAGGTTAGCGATGAAAGCTCACCATCCGTCTTGTTTTTGTGTTTAGCAGAGTCATTTATTTCCATGACAGGGAGATGAAAGCCATGAAATCTGCTGTAAAGCCATTGACAAAGAAATACTTACTATACTGCATTATTATATTAGTATAGTATAATAATTAGAATAATAATAATAGTAACACTACTTGAGGGGGCACACATAATCTAGTATTAGGCTATTACTTATGTATTAATTAATCACAAACTAAGTCTTAGTTACATACTGATTTCATGTTTGTTCATCATTAATGAATCGTGATGCATCTTTTATATCAGGCATTACTATATTTCTATATCTGTTTATTCTGTAAACTTTTGTAAACTGATGAAGGAACAAATAATAACGCCAGCAAAATACTGATCTCATGTTTGTTCATTAATGAATTGTGACTTGTGAATTGTGATCTTTTATTTCAAGTAGCTACTATATTTTTCTATGATTTGTATTGCAGTAGTAACCAGGTTGCTAGTAAGTATTGGTGCCCCCTCAAGTTACCAAAATGATAGTAATAGTAATAGTTTAATAATAATTATTCATTATTATATTATTATATTACTCATACTTCTTCCCGGAGCTAGTGAGCTTTTCCACTTTAATGCACATTTGAGTGACTGACTCAGGATTTTGAAGAACTTGTACACTGGTGTTAACTACTTCTTCTCCTCATTCTCAGAACTGCTAGCACAGACCTTTTGTACTTCCACAGCTTTCCACAGCCAAAAGGAATCAACCCAACGGCTTGACCCTTGCCTCTACAACCATTTTTGTCATTTCTACTGGGCCATTAAATAGCAGTTCCAAAGCAGCCCCTAATAGACTTGATATTTGCATTTTTCTGCCTTTCTGTAATAAATAGACAACAACAGTGGCCGGCAGCAATGGCACAGTGAGGTATGACAGCCACCAGATTTAACGGCAATGCGCAGCAGCATTTAAGGGGCCAGGACACTTCATTTTCACATTTTCACTGAGATACCAAACAAGTCTATGGCTCTCACACAACAGACAGTTTCACACAACAGAGTTGCAGGCATTCATCTGTGCTGCGGAGCCAGCTGGTTCTGAGTGTATTTTTTGGATACTGATCTGCTTGAAAACAGCAGATGTTCATTCCTGGAACACCTATTTCTTACACAAGGAAGACTTTATATTTTAAACTATAATTTGTATTATTTGTTTGTTTGTTTGAAGTTCTGAGTGCTTTGTTTTCAATATTTTTGGCAACCGTTTAAAAAAAAAAACATTCGGTATAGTTTTGATAGAACTTGCAATACGTCGGTAATATTGCTAACTTTCCCTTTCGTGTCATGCTGGCATTGCGGGCAGCTTCAGCTATTTGCTTCCAGTGTCGGGAATTTCGTCTCCAGAAGCTACAAATCCAGACCAACATTTTGTTTCTACCGACCAGTTGAGCATAAGGAGTCACAGTCACAAAGTACTCAAGTAGTTGGTAGAAAGTAAATCTTGGTTTGGATTTGTACTTTCTGGACTTGAAATGCCAAACATTATTTGCTTCTACTGTATGTTACTGCTTTGTGCCACAGCTCTTAAAGACCGTGTTTGCAATTATTACATTCTGAGATTTCAAAATGCTAAATATCCACTGAAACCTTATTTGAAGAAAGTGTTCAAATTTGTATACTGTAGCTACAAGACAGTGAATTTAACATCTGACTATAGCATACGTCACCCATCTGGCTATAATACTGTATATGTAATGCTACGTCAGAAACCCTGCTGCTTCCTACCGTGGGATAATTTAACCGCAGTCACTGTCTGCATGATCATGGCTACCACTATAACACCAGGTGGTGTTAATGAGCTCAAAAATTTTCTGTTGGCCTTTCACCTTCCAAACTTGACCATCCATTCTGTTAAGGCTACAAAATTCCTCCACACTCTTATAGGTATGGGTCAATATACACACATGCGCACACACACACATATGGGTTTTATATATATGTGTATTTTTATATACAGTATATACATTTCTTATGTGAAACTCTGCCATTTCACGGCACACAAAATATTGTGAAGTATCAAGCGTATGATACCTGTAATTTGTCACTTGACTCAGAGAATGTGACTGACATCTTTGAAAGTGCTTTCTCATGTTTAGCATTGTGATCATTTTTGTAAATGGGTCAAAGTGATTATAATCTGATCGAGTCAAAGGCAAGAGTAATTTTTAACAACATCACTTAAAAACCATTCAATCTATCTTTTAGACCTTGCCAAACCAGCCCGTCTCCGCTTTCCTCTTCATTTTATCCGTAAAACTTGTCACCGAGAGACAGCACACTTTTAGTTCTACGTTACGAATGCAGAAAGTCCTTCTCTTCTTTATACCATGAGCATGTTATGCGCTTATAAACACAGAACAAGGCTCCATTCCGAATTAATCAGTTTTTCGGAGCTACACTGAATGAAAATGTGTTATTAGTTTAAAATTAAAATGTAAGTGTAAATTGGTGAATGATCGGTATTTATTTTTACAGCAAATGAGGAGCAATACCATTTCTTTCTTTCTTTGTCACAACCATTTTCCTGTTCTGAAAGAAGGTCAGGTTTACTTCCTGGGAAACATGAGTTGTTTGGAAATCGTGGCAATGATAATACGGCAGCTAACTTACGATCACAGTAGTTAACTTACGATCACAGCAGCTAAATTACGATCTAGGGATCTATGCAAGAGCATATGTATATTATTGTCAGTTGAATAAACACCACAGAAGTAGGTGAAATATTGTTTGATGAGAAGAAAAAAAGATTTTTTCAATTCCAAATTTTAAGAGGCCAAAATTATTGCTTACGATCAAGTTATAATAGAATGTGATAAGTTGAATCATTCTTCTCCACAGAATATTTCATAGGAATTATACAGAATCGTTGGAATCTTTAACTAATTACACACATCTTACATTTATATGCAAACCTGATAATGGAGAATATGGAATAATGGTCTGAAGAAAACTCAATGATTGAAAATGATATTTCTGCTAAACGATGTTTTTTTTTTTTTTTACCCTTTGCACAACTAACTTAACTATTATTACCCTTTGCACAACTGCCTCTTCTATTGTTACCCTTTGCACAACTGCCTCTTCTATTGTTACCATTTGCACAACTGCCTTTTAAACTGTTATCATTTACACAACTGACATATATTACCATTTGCACTTTGTCGATATGTCTCTGGCCTTGTCAGTTTGTCCTGTGTCTTGGTATCTGTCTTTTTGTATAGAATGTCTATCATTTTGTAATTGGACGGCACACACACCAGGGTACGCACACCAGTGAGCGAGGAACGGCATTTCGATTCTCATTTATGTCTTGCACATAAAATGTGAATTGACAATAAAAATATCTTTGATCTTTGATATTATGCTCAATATACCACATACTTTAAATTTATTGGTTTAATTTATTTGCATAAAGGAACATCTTGTGCTGTCATCAATCACCAATTCAACATTTCATTATACCTGGAACGCTTGTCTCTAAGGAGGTAGGTGCCAAATGTCTTGATACGGTCTGTCTTGGTTGGAAGATATTATTTAATACACGACAAATGTGATTGCTATAACTTCTAAGTATCCAAATCTTTAACATTGCAAAGTTTGCTATATAAGTTTCACATTTAAGATTACATATAATCACAGCCTAATTAAAGAGCTAAAATCCTAATAGCCTATCCTTTCCGATTTTATAACCTATAAGATTTACTTTGTATCTTTTAATCCATATAAATCTGCAGATTTGATGCTTACATTTTGTATTGTATTCTGTAGATATTTCATTTGCAGATATTTGACCTGTGTTCACAAGACATGATGTAGCCACTACATACTGTATAAATATTGTATTCAGCATTGATTTGCTGTTTTATGTATGGATTCCAATATACTCGTGCAAATAATCTACTTTTCACCTGAACTCTGTGGCAATGGAAAACAGTGATATGCCGTCTTGCACCATGTGTTCGTGCCCTCAGAGAAGTTTACATTTGGAGAAAAACACCAAGTAAGCATGGTGGGCGATCTGTGATGGTCCAGGGTGGGTGCCAACCCCCTCTAACTGGCCGTATAATGGTCAAGAAATATAAAGCTGTACAGGACCAAGCATGTGCTATGGGGAGAAACACACACCCCTCATTCACGATGGCAAAAGGTCAGCATAGTCCTTATTAGGTTCCTAATATTAATATATTAATACTCCCCTTTTATGTCACTCGGATGGTAGTTTGTGAAAAAAATACATGAATAAGCATTCAGACTGGCTGAAAAACTCAGAGTGGCAGTCTTTCCTGCAGCTAGTGCATGTCTGTTTAGAGATATCGATATATTCATGACAGATACTGATGCTAGAGGGAGACAATTTGGCAGCAAAGATAAGCTGAGGATACCCATGACTAATACTCTGATGATACTCTGGTGGCCTTGGAGGACATTCTGAATACTGTCAGCTCAGCAGGCACCTGCTCCACCTGTGTGACATTACAATCTGACCCTGACTCTCAGGCTTATTAGTTCTGCAGTCTGGCTGTATTACCCAGATATGATTAGATATGTTTCTTTTGCCATTTAAAGGGCACAGGATGAAGTACAGTTTGAATTCAAGCTGTGAATATGGCAGCTATTATAATTCAAAAATGATAAAAGGTAAGTGTGGGCAGCTGATTCCCATTAGAGCAGGGAAGGGAGGTAAGATCATTAGAAACAGTCTGGAACCTTGGCTACATATTGATTGCGTACGCTGCATTCCCTCCCCCTGCAGGACAGACCTCCCTCCAGCACATAAGCTCATGCCCCCCCTGAAAAGGAACACTGACTTCAAGAGCCACTTGACGTCTGATGATATACAGGTTGGTCCAGCGCTCGTTGGTTACACATGCATGCTTTTGTCACTGCACCTCTCCTGAATGTCACATTATTTTGAGGAACCCAATGTGACTTTGGAAAGTAAATAAAGCAGCAAAGTTATCGTGCGATGGCACCAGATTGCCGTGCTGCTCTCTGATCTTTAGAATGCATCGCATCAGCTGTGAGTGATATTGTAAGGGGGCAGTGGGAGTGTGTAAGTAAGTAAATAAGTAAATATGAATGCATACTCTTTCCACAGAGGTGCACCTCATGTGCTAACATAGAATTTCAGGCAGGCCTGGTTGCCTCAAATTCTGGGTAGCATGGTTATAAGACGAGACCTCAATGACTTGAGTGGGAGGCCTTTGGCTGCTGATGTTTCATGGGCTATGTTTAGAAAATGAAATACTATTGTCTTTCTGGGGCCTGTACTCCAGGACTGCACTGCTGGTGCTCATTTACTCTGCTTGAGGCAGCACTCTGCATGGTTCTTTTTAATTTCACATGAGGTAGCCCTTCACAGGTGAGGAAAGTGATTGTGAGGTGATAAGTTGAAAAGAATGGATAAGAACAACCTTCAGCTCATTTACAATTGGACATTCAGCAACAAATGTATTCAAACAGAAGATAAATTGAAGAAAGTTGCCATGGAGATTTAACCACCCATGTTTTGTTTTTTTTTGATATCATGAATATTTACCACTAATACAGCATCTTCTCCTCTATTTACGACAGTGATATTACATTTTCACATTCCAGTTTGGAAGACGTCTTGATTTTTACTTTAGCATGAACAATGTGAAGCTAATCTACTCCTATCTCACCTCTCAGAATATAATTAATTTCACACCTATTTGCTCTCAATAGAATCCTGCCACTTCCCCCCTGCTATAAAGTTTACAAGCAAACAAATTATACAGGTTTTTAAAAAAATGAGTAAAATCCTGGTCATGTATACAGTGTGCATGTGTGTGTGTGACATATTTATGTACACTAGTGGCCAAAATTGTGAAAACACGTAGCGTTTCTAGCATTGTGATTTGAAAACTATTACACGAGTATTAGCAGTATTGTTTATAAACAATCAAAGAATATCATATATTGGATGACTAAATAAGCATCCTGGGTTGTTCACTGCCAAAAAGACAGAATTTTGTGGAACCATGTACTTCATAGTCTGTAAGAAATGAATGAATGAATGAATGAATGAATGAATGCCTTTATTGTCATTGCACAAGGTACATCAAAAATGGAAGACTATCCTTGTACAAGAAAGAAAAACAGATAGGAAGGACACAAAATACAGAAATAAATAAGGTGATAAGATGAGCAGAATGTAAAATAAGCAGAATTTAAACGGAATAAACAGAAAACAGAACATTAGTAAGGTCTGAAGCACTGAGAAATGGCACTGGAATGATTGTCAGCTGGACTGAATTGCGATTTTATACTGTTCTGTAGCTTTACAGTTTCCACATTGTCTTGGATTATTTGTGAATGTATATAGTTTTGGATCAAATCTTTGGAGTTTACAGGGGTTGGTGTTGTAGTTTTGATATTGCGCTGAGAATAAAAGGGTAATTATTGGTGTAATGTCTGGATTGGGAAAAGTAGGCGTCAGTGTGGTGCTGTAAGGAAAGTTAGTCACATTTTATTTATTTTTTATTTCCTATCAAGCAGTTATTTTTAAGGCCATTGCAGGTGCAAGGGAAATGGAATAGGCAGCTCTATGAGGGGAAAAAGCAACCCAGGGACAAGCTGAGCGCAAACTGCAGGGAGACTGCGTGCAGCAGGTGTGCAGTGGGACGGGCACTGTCACCAGCCACAAGTAGCTTGGAAAGCTCGCAGTGCAGGGGACCACAGACAGAGCTAATGAGCCAAATCTCTTATTCAACATATTTGACTCTCACTTGCCAAATCAGTCCATCCCCAGCACTGCCAGCCTCAGTGTGACGGCTGG